GCTGGATAGTTATTAAAAGAACTACAACTCTTGCGATTTACGACTCAACGAGCGCTCCGTGGATTAGGCGGGAAGTTCAGGAGCGGCCTAGCAGTATGTTCCTGGATTCGGAAAAACAAAATGAAAGGGAAATGAAAAAGTAAATAAAGTTTTATCCTTGTACACCGCATGTTAATGAGATCTGCGTGTTTATCGAAGTCGCGCCTGGGGCGCTTCAAACTTTGTCCTGCGGTTGAAACTACTCAAAAGCATCGTAGTCGTGCTCCGGGCAAACCGAAAACGTTGATCTGAGCACCGACTACGATATCCGCTAGTGGCGGATGTATTTTCTTATTCTGTTTTGAGGCTCTTGCCAATCATCTCACGCATAAGTTACCGAACTGTAATGCAATCATCGTTACTGTCCTAATAAATCTTAGCATATGAATCCGTATGAAACACATGCAGATATTTTTTAATTAGACATCGTCAAGATTTCGATAACTATAACTCCATTTGAAAGGTATTTCTAAATGTTTTTCTTTTTTCGTAGAGTACTCGAATAATCTTTTTTATTTGTGATTTTGTATTCCTCCTCTATTTTTATATGTACACATCTTGCTGGAGTAGAACTATAAAACATGTTTATTTCTCTCACAACATCTAAGGCATAAATGACATTGTGAAAAATACTAACTGAAGGAAGCTTTGGATGGCAAATTTTGTCAATAACATTAGGATGTACTGTAGAGTATTCACTATACAATTTACATATGAAAAGACATTTAAAAATTGCGTTGTATTACTCAATATAATATGATCTCTTCTTTACTATGTTAAATACTAAACTGCTTTGTTTTTGCAACTGCAATATTATACAAGATGAGTCATTCTTCTTTTCATAATTCATTTCGAAAAACTTGAACGTATTTTTTTATGAACCTCAAAACGTTTAGAGTAAGGTGGAGTGAAAAAAATGAAAATAAGCATATTATAAATTAAACATTACTATACTAAATGCTTATTGAAATACATCTTCTTGTATTTCAAGAAATAAACAAAAACATTTAATTTTTTAAGTATCTACAGCATTTTAAACATTTAATAAAACTATGCTTATTTCACGAAGTGATTGTTCAAACGTATTTTATCTCATTTTAAAGAATACCCGTCGTACAGTAGCTTCTGCTACATTTATAACGCTTAAGCACGAAAGAATATTTTGAAATGAAAGTTTTGTTTATGAACATTAACCCAAAGCATTACAATTTATCTTTCGTTTTATTATACTTAAGAAATACACTTTGTAGATATAACAGACTTCACAGCCCTCTAAAATATAGAGAACAATTTTGTTGCTACATTTAGCAATTATTCTTCATACTTTCAAATGGAATGACAATTATCGACATCTTCCTAAGTGTATGTACGCTATTAACAGATAATATTTCTACCTTTAGTTAACTAGAATTTTCAAATGTTTGTTCTATTTTTTATACTTTTCATTTCTATAGATCTTAGTTAAAATGATATCGGATAACTTTCGTTATAGTATGAATAATGAGAAATACGTAATTACGCTCGGTATATTACAAAAAAATGATTTAACAAATAAGGACGAAGTTAATAAATGCAAATGAAGAACAAGTAATAAGTTTTTAGAAACCTTCACCTATTCCCGATACCTACACCGTTTAAAAATAAATAATTATATTATTAACAGAAACATTAAATAAGAATATCTACCTAGTTTATATTATAAGTATGTACAAATCTTACCGATATAATTAATTAAAGTTACTTTTATTTGAGGATACCTTCAGAGTACACAGGGTGTAACAAAAGTGTTATAGGTCCCTGAAATGGATCACTCGTGAGGTGATTTGGAACAAGTTTTTCCTTAGCAAAAATCATATCCGAGGCTTTGCGAGATATCTCGTCCACCGATGCGAAGGGGTTAATACATCATACTGATCACCGTACCAGGATTTTGTACCCTACGGATAAAACGTTCTGCGATAAATTTATTATTATTGTTATTACTTTTATTACAGTGATCTACAACACAGTTTCAGAATACAGTAAACTTGATCTTTGTGCATAACGGTTTTAACTAGTATGTAATAACGAACTTGAAGTCCGTAAATCTAAACCAAATGGAACTGTTTTATTTAAAACATTGTGCTTCTTCAGGATGTTAAATTCCTAATTGATGAATCAGATAAAAAGGATTCCACCGAATGTAAGAAAAAATACTTCTGAGGCCATTAAAAACTGCAAGAATGATAACTACGGTTAATTAAAGTATTGACATAAAAATAGGACAGGTAAGTACACCGAGGAATCTGGTATTTATTTTTAATACATTGTTTGAATATTTCTTAATACAAATTAAAAGTATAACATATTTTATATATTTAATGGTTGTTAACATTAGAAATACTAATTATACTATGTGTTAAAGTAAACCTTGATAATGTACTTTCGTAAGAAATTCTACATATTTTATTTAAAAAAGTATTATCGGTGGTAGTATCAAATGAACTTAACTGAAAAATATCCGCCTAAAGTGAATATTTATTTTATGCAAACTTATTTACAATTAGTTGATATTCCGTTCAATATCCCCATGATCTTGTTGTAACAAGAAGTTTTAATCTGTTGTACATAGATTAAACTAGTTTTTTATAAAATTCTGTGAACAGAAATAACAATACTATTTTAGATAAACGTGAATAATTTCTCAGTTGAACGTGTCATAATCTAATCTATAGTATACAAGTTAAGATTTGTACTAATATAAATTATAATGTTTAATCCTGGATTTAAAATTAATTGTATGTACATATAAAATGTGCCGTACACAAGAAGTGTGCGGATATTTCTGTTTTCTTTTCCGTAGTAAAATTTAGTTGAAAAACCAGTTCGTATGTCGTATTTCCAATTCATTAGAAATCTGAAGAACATAAACATCGTGTATACTTCTCAGTAGAACGGCGTTCCTTAAACTGGACGTCACGACAGACCGTTACGTCAAAAGCATCAACTGTCCAGAATGTAGAATAAGCAGAATCTCCGCTGACATTCACCATATAAAACCGCATTGTAAATGTACTACAAAAAACCTGTTCATCAATTTCATGTCTTACATTCTCTTCTCCCTTCCCGCCGTTCTTTCTGCACCTAAGCAAACGATGATGCTGAGAAGACGGTTAAATTCTACCGTAACTCGGTAAGATCGTTAAGCAAAGAAACATCTTCCACTTCAGCTTAAGGAGCTATGAAATGAGAATGCTTCCCTTACACATCGTACAAGTGTCTGAGTATAATTGTTTGAGATAATTATCTGTAGCAATTAGAGCACAGACGAATGTCAGAACGAGCTGTGTAAGCATTCCCACGACAGTAAAATGTTACCCTACTTTGGCCAAACTAATTCTTCGGGAAAGAATCATGAGAGTAACATCAATAGGTAAATATTCAAACAGATAAAATTTACAATGCAAGTTATCACTGTGCATTGGTAATGATTTCGATAAATTAATCTGATAAGTATATGTTTGGTGCTTTATCTAAAAATTTATTTTGTTTGATTAGTGAAACATCAAATTTTTTTTAACCATATGGAATATTTACAGAAACTATTCGCTTTTCTATTGATTTCAGAGTTGCATTATAAAATAATCGCATCGGAACAAAGCGTACTGGTCAAAAACAACGTTCTAGGTATTTGAATCATGTTTCTGTATGCATAATAATCGTGAATATGGGATAATTAGTACTAGTTATTTAGAAAGCCTCTTATTATTTTTCTATTTTAATCTTTAGGTGACTTTAATTTTATATCGAATAATTTTGTAAATTGTTGTTTACGTTGACGCGGAGAAATTTTGTTTATTATCATACACCTCTACAATTCTGATGCTTGTATATAAAGTTGAAAGAACTATTATATACAAATAAATAAACTAGAAAATAACTAATTCAACACTTGCAGTCGATGTTCTACTGAAGTAATAGAACTTCATAAATTCTACTAAACGTAAATTCGAGGAACTCTAATTTGTTGAATACTTCCAGCAAACTAATGGATATGGAAATAAGTGCTTATATGTAAATATATGTAAAACTGTTCTGCGTTTAAATAGATGTCCTATAAAAAATTTTAATAACCTCGTTACACACTCTCTTTAACACGACAAGATTTTATTACCTGTTTAGAATTGACATGAAGATTTTAAAAAAAACTTCTGATTTGCATCCATTACCGGACAAGTAGCGACACATAACAGGAAATGTTGGTACTACGATATTCACCTCGCATCTCACGAGACTTACCTGTACAATGTGAAACTCTGTCGAAATATTACCTCATGAATATTCAGCAAATGAAGAAAAAATGTTCGAAATTACTAAATATGTATCGATCAATTTCACCCCTGTATTATTCGTTCCACCTTCAATACAATTCATATCTAATCGTTCAAACAACCAACAAAGGACAAAAATAAATCTTAGATCATAACTAGAAAGACGTACAGACACAATCTATTGTACTAACAACGGATCACATCATCAGCCCTACGTTTACGAATTATGTACCAGTAAGTCCAAGGAGGAAACGTGATTAATAAATTCGACGCCCAGGCGTCGCGACGGTCCATTTCGACACAGCTGCAAAACAATGCTCACGTATACGTGAGCTCCCCCATCGGGAGTGTTCGGGAGTCCTCGCAACCGATTCGTCGGACACAGCGTCCCTGCTGTTCCATTCACTCACACTGATCCCTCCCGGTCATTCGGGTTAACATCTGCACGGAAACGGAGGTTGGCAAGGAAGAGAGGTGCGCGATCGACGCTATAACACCCGCCTGATGAGTGAATCGCGCGCGTGTCAGTGCGGTGTACATATTGTGTAAAAGAGCAATCGTGCGTATGCAAAGCCGCGGCTGTGTAGAGACGAACTTGAAGTCGGAGAGGAAAAAGGTATACAAGTGTAGACTGAGCGGCGGCGTCGAGCGCTGGCAAACGGGTCGGCATTGGTAAGCGCGATTAGCCGAAAACGCGCAGTCGCGCGTCGATTCTGTCGGGTGGGAGGTGATCAGCTGTGAACACACGAGGAACGAAATGTTCGTCTTGCAAAGGTCTATATTGTGAGTACCTGTAATTTTTCCACAAAACCGCGTAACGAGCGACGTGTTTCGGTTCAAAACATATTCCGTCTTTACTGCACCGGTGCGGGATAAGAGCACGCACGTGCGCGCCGATTCAGATCGGCGAGAGAAGTGGAAAAAGGCTAGTGGAATACGCGAGAAGGGCCGTGGTAACCTAGCTTCTGCCGCAATGCAGTGCTGAAAATAGGAATGCGCGGAGAAGTCGCGGATCGATACCAGGCCACGTTACTTGTGCATTCTGTGGGACAGTGCCAAACACAATCGTATCGCGCTTACGTTCAGGTGCATTAGAACATTTTCACCCTTCTGGCGGTTCCGTTCTCCATTCTGTTCGTCTTTTTAGTCTTCCTCCCGAAACACCTGACTCCTACCGTTAGAAGACCGTAAGGATCGTTCCCGACCCACCCCTCTCAATTTTGTCCTGTTTCATCCTGTCTATCCGTCGAAGCATGGACCTTTAGAAACGTGCCTGTTCACGCTTGCCGAATAATTCGAGGAAATAGAGATCGTTCGTCCAGTGGAACTTTCCGCCTGCTGTGAAACGAAACCGATCCGCTCGTTGAACGGTTTTGAACATGCTCCATTACATTTCCTGCTTTTGACAAGTCGTGTATTCGACACTAGGAGACGCTTTCTTATTGATTTTGTTTCTGCGCACCTGTTACTGTAATGTTTTCCATTGATCGTAGAAGCTGTGTTAAAATTTGTGTTCTGGGACCATCGTTTCGGCAGCTGGTAATGTCTACATTTTCGTAAACGAATATATCCAGCGGATCAATCTATTTTCGTAACATACATGGTGTCGTGCGTTTTTCAGGGAGTTCTCGGAAACGGATGATATCGTTTTTTTTCGAGTGGCATTAAATAGGAGTCTTCTGACTTCGTTTCATTTTATGATATGTGCTCTATTTAAATTCGATTGTCTATACTAGATGATTTGAATCTGTTATAAAAGAGACATAAAAACGAGTTTATATTTGCTGAGTTATTTGGGTGACATTATCAGAGATATCTCAGACACTTCTCAAAAAGATTGTATTCTCTCCGTTTCTCTTCGTTGAACAAACTAATAAATGACAATTCTGTTACGATATTAATAACGCATTCTGTTTACATGACATTACGGTTCTCTATTACCTCACACACTTGCTAATTGCGAGTTTCGTAAACACGACGCGCCATTCAAACATTTATAGAGTACACTAATTTTACGATACGTTTATGTACATCAGTAAATAACTACATACGTGTTTCGAAATACAAGCGTGGCACCAATAGGGTACGACATAGTAACAGACAGAAGTAAAGGGTATGGTGTAAACAGTTTACTCCCTTTTTATTTTTTTAATCATACATCAAGGTTGCTGTTCTCTTATGTTATGTATATTTTTAATATTTTTAAAAATTTAAGGGAGAACGAATATACGTTGATATCACGTGACCTATAAATGGTTCAGGATGACTGGAACGTAGAAATTATTTGAAGTGATTAGGGTAAGAAATGTATCAATTGAAAGTAACATTATCAATATTTATTTCAAAATACAACTATTTAATTGAAACTTAATATTTAAATATTCTAAATGAAATATATGAATAAAGTTATTGTATTAGTAATTAATGTTATTTTTAGTTCGTAGGCAATTAATTATTATTGTATTAATAATTTTATACTAATAAATTATTACACTAATTTATTTTTGTATGGTTTTTTCCACAATTAAAATTGAATATCTTATACTCCTTACATTTTTAGAGATCAGACATGTTTTAGAACACCCCCTGAATACTGAGACTCTTCTTATTTATGAAAACACGTGTTCTTGTAATAACTCATTATCATTAATTTAGCGTTTTATGATGATGCGATAGTAAAGGCAGCTTAACGCAGAACCACATTTGTTTTCTGCGCTACGAACGATTTGTCATAAGGAATCTTTGAAAATGACGACATACCTACTTCACGTCTCGTGTCACTTCATGCCGGTAAAGTTATATTGGTGCTTTACGTAACACGTAAAATCGACCAACTTACATAATGTACGCTAAACGTGGTTTTGCTACTTAGGACGAAAGAAGGAATTTTGTAATGTTTACATACCGCGTAATCTAAAATACGCATTAGATGATTTGAAGTTAGAATAATGCCCGTTTAGCACAGATGCACAGATTATTCATATAAAGACTAAACTACTGACTACTTTAAATTGAGAAACGGTCCAACATAAGCACAAATTAAACTGCACGTTGGTATTTACTATTCAAGCGACTTATTCTCCAAAAAAACTAATTTAATCTATATTGTTTAATCAATTCTTTATTTAAAAATATTACGTAACATTAATTAATATTAAATTAATAATGTGAAAATGTTATGCAGTACATAAATTTAATCACCAGTAGCAGAAATACTAATACAAATATTACATTCATGCCTGAAATTGCATGTAAATATGTAACAAATATGTATAAAAGGCTTAGACACCAGAATGTTTAAATATGTTTAAATAGAAATATTTGTATTGAATTGTTACGATACATATCTAATACGTACAAATTACGTACTTCCACGTAACAAGTTGATGTCACGCGCATTGTGTACATATATGTAGGACCCCCATTCAATGAAGAAGAAACTGTAACAATCAAGGTCATTGTGTAATAGGGGGAAATCCAATCTAACAAATGAGTGGTTGTTAAAGAAAGAGCTTCCATATCATCACAAGATACTGGGTCAGTACAAAAATTTAGATGGTTTCTCTACAGATTATAATATGATTGCCATGGTTTTATAGAAACAGTAATAATTATGTTAATACATTACGTGTCGATATCAATGTAACATAGTGAATTGTTGTTTAGAACAAAAATTGACGCGATTTAGTGGGTTTTATTCTTTAAAATAAAAGTGAAATTAAGCTCTTGAAAAAACATTTAAAAATAAAAATAAACGTAAAAGGCATTTGTGATCTATTTAGTGAAGCTATTATGTTGATCTCAGTCTGTGATAGATTATAAATTTGTTACTATAATTTAATTGTATAAATTCATTAAATTATTAAAACCCATCAAAACTTTTGCACTCACCTAATATGTAGTATACTTCGAATTTGCCTTTTTACATAAAAAAAACAAATACGACAAGATATAAAATACAATATAAGATATAAGAGTACTTTAGAGGAATTAAAGTTTAGCGACTATGTGCTCTTAATAGACTTTGTTTTAGATTGAATTAGTTGTTTGAACATATTTCTATAAGTCTGGCCGGGTGCCACCAAAATAATTATAGATTACCCCGTTCTCGTTAGGAAATGAAGTAGGAATTGTTATTACAGGGTAGTATTTCTTCTGAATATGTTGTTTCGTGACTTATACAGATGTTTTGGCCTTATACAATTTTCGGAACGGAAATCATTCACGTTTTCCAACGTATTCATCCAACGCGATCAATTATTGTCACGACGACGAGTTTAATCCCCTGTTTTAGTTGAACCAGATCAAACTGATTGTTACTCGTTGTACAATGTTGCGTTCCTATCTACAATTTAGTTCTAATCAACTAATCATGCCTATCTTAAGTGCATGATAAACTGCCTGGTGCATTTTATTTTTTAAAGTATCTCCCGAGTATGTCGATAATAAAATTGCTTGCCTGACTTTGAAATGTTTAATCAGTAAAATTTGATCAACTATCTTTCAAACAATTCTTTCAATCATTTAATTAGTACCTACTTATTTAATTAATTTAATTTTGTTATATGTGTTAGACTTTATTTTTAATTTGAACATATATTTTTATTTTATTTTACTATAAAAGAATTTTTATTTTGTATATGGAATGAGACATTCATGATCAAATTCGTCTGAACAAATTAGATAAATAATGCAAATATTTAAATTCAGTTAGAATTACTAACTTTACTAATACTTGAGAATACGTAATAAAGTAACGTTAACTGTAATTTGTATAAACAAGGAAAATAACAAATATTTGTGACTCAGCCTAATCGTTTAAAGTAATTAACTAACATGGCGTTGCAATACACTGCCATTGCTAGAGCCATATACAATGTTGCATAACTTTTGGATTGAATTTTCGACAATATATCCGTGTTCTGATGTACTACATATTATGTAATTTACAAGCACATCCACGTAGGAAGATTGTAGCAGCTGTTCGTGTATCATTTATTGTAATTCAATGGCTTTGAAATGTCAACGTATAGTCGACAGTAATGAATATATTATCACATGACAAGGTATTGAGTTACGGATATGCTACATAACTTCTTCTATTGCCTATATCTTCAATCAATACGAACTCCTCTCTTACGTTTTCATTGTCACGGTACCATCATATTTTTAATTTATTATATCGTGCAAATTGTTGGGCAGTAAGCCAACACATTAATTTCTTGCACATGAAACAATTCTCATCGTAAATCTTATTACGAGAGTAACGATAGGTAAACTATTGACATAGAAATAATATTTGTAGAAGGATTCTTTTAATTATGTACACGAAGATTGCTTTAATATATTTTCTGTTCTCTTAATTATTGCTATTTGTAATTCTGTAAACCTTTTTTTAAAATTATCTTATATACTTTGGTGGTAATAAGAGGATGTGTAACTGTAGATGTAATTTCAAAATTAAAAACGGGTCTTTATTTTTTAACAAGTAGATTTTTATATTTGTTATTTGAAAAAATTTCATTTTATAAATACACAAGCATATACAATAATGTCTAAAAGTACCTAGACTAGTAAAAGACTTTCGATATTACATATGTATACAAATTCAAAGGAATATATACAAATTTCCGATATTTAAGTGACTCAGAAATAATAAAATAATTCGATAGTTACTATATTATTACATAACCGATTACTGCATACGTTTATTTAGAGCAATGTTTCCCAACATGGGGGCGTACGCCTCACCGAGGAGCAATTTGAATACTTGGGGGGAGGAG